GAAAAGGATAGCGTCGTATGCCAATTACCATTTTTCTCTTTTATTAGTGTAGACTAGAGACCTGGTGCACAAAAATTTGTGCACTCGGGAGGGTCCCTCAGCCCGGCCTGTGCCGACTTGCAGTCTGGGACCCCTCAGGGGATGACAACCTGCTGGCTTAGGCCTGCTCCCCGGGGGATTGGGCCCAAGCTGGCAGTCAGACATCCCTCTAGCAGCCCGGGAGCCCTCAGGGGAAGTCCACTTGTCAGCAGGGAGCAGGCCCAGTTGCAGTCAGATATCCTTAGCGCTGCTAAGGAGGTGGGAGAGGCTCCCACCACCACCGCTGAACTAGTAGCTATCAACCTGGCTTGTGGCTGAACAGAGCTCCCTCTGTGGGAGCACACTGACCACCAGGGGGCAGCTCCTGCATTGAGAGTCTGCCCCCTAGTGGTCAGTGTGTGTCATAGTGACCAGTGATTCCCAGTCGCTCTGCTGTTAGGATCAATTTGCATATTACTCTTTTATTATATAGGACTAGTGACCTAATGCATGGATTTGTGCACATTGAAAGGAAATTAATTAGAAGGTGGCCATTGGGGTGGGGCAGGACTGGGCGAGAAGGGCAGGACATGCCCTGGAGCCAACCTCCTGCAGTCCCTTTCTGGCTGGCCATACCTGGGGTGGCACTGTGGCTCAAAGGGCGTCTGTGGAGTGAGCGGGGTCCCTCTGGCAGGTGGGGTCCCTCGACCTGGCCTGTGGGGATCACCTGCAGGGATCGGGCCAAAACTGGCTCTCCGACATTGCCCACTCGAGTGTCCTGGAGTGTGAGAGGACACTCTGCAAAGTTGCTGTCATACAGAGTGTGGAATGCAAATGCAAGTGTGCAGTAAACCAGATTTGGGGCCGACAGTACCCCACCAACAACATAACTGAAGGTGGAATCACGTGGCCCCCTGTGAGGAATTGGGCTCCCTCTTCTCTGGTTTCGGGGTGTATCACTCAAGAACCGCCGCTGCCAAGTCACTGCAGCTCGGCAGCTCCTTTGTTGAGTGTCTGCCCCCTGGTAGTCAGTGAGCGTCATAGCAGCCGGTCAGTTGGACGCTTAGCATATTAGCTGTGTGTGTGTGTGTGTCTGTGTGTCTGTGTGTCTGTGTGAGATATATATACACACATTGATTTTAGAGAGGAAGGGAGGGAGGGAGGGTAGGAGGGCAAGAGAGAGAGAGAGAGAGAAACACCATTGATGAGAGAGAATCACTGATTGGCTGCCTCCTTCGCACCCTCCACTGGGGATCAAGCCCACAGCCCCGGCATGTGCCCTAACTGGGAATTGAACTGTGATTTTCTGGTTCATAGGTCGATGCTCAACCACTGAGCACACTGGCTGGACCACAGACACTTTCTACTGAGCCTTTATTTAGTGTCCAGCATTCAGAAGCTCCATCCCAGATAGATGTCAATTTTGGACACCAGCAGCTAAAAGCCCAGTCAACTAGCATTCCATCTCAGAGGGCTGTGGAAGGACAGTTTCAACACCCTGTGTAGATGTCCTTCATTCAGCAGGCCTCCTCACTGGCCCACATCCAGCCCTGTACTTCTCTGCACAGATTTCTGCCTCACATCTAACACCAAGCCAGGTTTCTCACTCAGCTTTCATTCAGCATCAGCAGATCATTCATTCATCTCATAGACAAAAACACAAAAGCCATCAGCAGTCTACTCAAGAAGGTCACATCTGCAGCAGCATTCTTTTTTTAAAAAAGAATATTGCCTATTTAATCCTCACACCCAGTTTTTAAAATATATTTTTATTGATTTCAGAGAGGAAGGGAGAGGGAGAGAGAGATAGAAATATCAATGATGAGAGAATAATTGATCGGCTGGCTCCTGCACGCCCCCAACTGGGGATTGAGCCCATAACCTGGTCATGTGCCCAGCATGTGCCCTTGACTGGAATCGAACCTGGGACCCTTCAGTCTGCAGCCCGACACTCTATCCACTGAGCCAAACCAGCTAGGGCAGCAGCAGCATTCTTTGTGTAGCCAACATGCTGTTTTTCCACAGCAGGCACCTAACCAAGGTCAGCCATTACTAGGTATTCTAAGGGCCATTCCAAACACAGTCTAGATTACACGTCCTTTGCAAGAACAGTTGCAACCAGCAGTAATGGGTCAACATGTAATACAACCTTTAGAGCAGCCTTAAGTGCTTCAGGCATTAGACAGCAGTCAGACTTTTGCCCTGCAGAAACACCTAGCACGGCACCAGCCAGCATGGACTCGGCAGTGGCCTGCTGTCCAGCCACGGTGGCAGCCAGCTTCTAGCTCAGCACTTGTTTCTGGGTTATCAGAAACACAATTACAACAGCAGACCCTCTATCAAGTGCTGGGATAGCCCTTCCAAGTTGGCCGTCTTCTTCTGCTCATCTGTCACCACTTGGTCTCCCAGTACAGGCTTCCACTGCCTTTCAGAGCATTTTCCTGTTAACAGATACAGCAGCATTTGCAAAGCCAAGAATTTCCAAAGGTAAATCCTCCTGGGAGAAGATAGTGGATGATTGTGATTTTTCTGTAATGTTCCAGGGTCAGGGAGATAGTGAGCTGTAGTAGAAATGGCACTGAACTGGGAGTCACAGTCCCTCTTTTGGCTCTTTTCCTTCCTGAGTGGCCTTGACCCAAGTCCCTTTGGGCTTTCCTTATCTGTAAAGTGAAGGGATGAGACCCGATGATGATAACAACAATTACTTGAGCACCAACTTGGGATATGTCAGTTAATAAAAAAACAAAAATGTTTTCTGTCACTGAGTTTTGTTGCCTAATCGAGGG